GCATACTTTTTTGTACCTTCCTTGATTTTTCTTGCGTCTTGATATAAACGAACTGTTTTAAATTTAAGTGCCATATGCATGGGTGAACTCCAAGCACTGTTAGATTTTTCGATGTCACTCAAACTGTTGAAAAGTTCCCAAAAATTAAGTAAAATCAGGTTATGGTTTAGAGATAGAATAACACATATTTTAAGTTTTTTAATCTGATCTTTGTATATCGACAATCAATCCACCTACAACTTGGTGTGTTTGTGGTGCGGCTGAGATTGCCGGAACCGAACTAATTGAATCATATTGTAATTTTAGTTGAGCGGCACCCGTATCTCCGCGTTTTTCGCTTTCGTCAGGCATTATGGCTTGTAAACATTCTTGGCACCACAGCCTTAGTAGAAAATTTTGCGCTCCTCAATACACATGTCCCACCTAAGTCCTTCAGTATCGAAATTCCAACAATTGAATGTGCGCGAGGCAGCTCTTGCAAACTTTAGAAAAATCATAATGCAATGTTTTTGCTGTCAGAGAACGAATTCGATAGACAAATTCTTCACAACTTAAACTCTCTGATGAATCATCAAAAGTAATACGTGGTAGAGCTGTCACTCTATCTGGTCGTAAAAGTCATTATTAGGATTATTATTAGTCGGGTTGAGTCATTGGTTGCTTACCGTATTAATAGCATTATTTACAAAATGGCGTCACCTCCGCTATTTTTGTTTACAATATGTATGTGCGCATGCACATACGTAAATACATATTATACCTACAGTGGCTGTTGGTCAAGAACACACGTCAAATCAAACTACCGCACAAAAAGGAGATGACAAAAACTAACAAAGCGACCGGCCAGCTTAGTGAAGACGGCGTGGGTCGCTAGCTACGCACAATAACAAAACTACTTGCAAAGAAAATCAAAACCAAGCGAAACTTTCTAACCCGATAGACGAAAATTGCAGGACAACAATACTTTCGTAGATTGCTGCAATCTGATCCGGGACGCACTTACGAGCCACCTCGCAAGCTACGCGTCGGCCTTCAAATGTTTTTTTAGCGCAGCATGATGCGTATTGTTGTTATTCTCTATAGATGGGGAATTACGCACTTCTAGCGAAGGAAATGAGTGAGTTGTATCATCTCTAGGCATATTCGAATAACCTCCCCCATATAGTCTACTCTGAGATTGTCCTGTATGGTATCGCGGCACCGCTTCCTGAGCTCTTGCACGGTCGTGAAGATTTATCGCCATCTGACATCGGAAGTTATTTTAGTGGGCCTGGCCTCAAACTAATTTGTTTAAGATCACTTCATTTACAGGTTCGCCCACAACATGGACATGCCTCCGAATTCTCGAGGCAATTATTTATACATTTATTGCGGTAAACGTGATTACATGGCGTTATCATACAATCTTGCTCATGCTTCATGTCCTCTTGACATATCATACTCGCACAATCGTCCCTAACAAGAACAGCTGACAGGTTTTCATTGTCATGTACAACAGCCATTTCATATTTAGACTTTAAATATTGTTGAACTAAATACTGCTACCTAGAGCTTAAATTTAGTGAATCCAGACTCAAAATTTAAGCTTTCTTCTTTTACAACTCTCTAAAAATACAATCACTCTTGATTGAACATAAGAATTTAATTCGCGTATGCTTAATCCTGAAAGAAATTAAAAGGAATTAAAGAGAGCGCCGCGGTCGAAATCAACTTGGTATTTAACACTCCAAGAAGTCGAAAGTCCGCAAGGATCTGAAATTTAACAGCCAAAGGTCTTATGAAAACTCAAATTAAGATGCGTATTTACAAAAGCGTAATTTATTTAACCACGGATTGAGATAACAAACTATGTCCTTTTAACTGAAGTCAGTATTTAACCATAAGGTTACGAAAAGAAATTTTATAGTATTTTGCTGCCCCACGTTGGGCGCCATTTTTGTGTAACGTATCAATTTTTGAATTATTTTATTACAAGATAAAGATGAAGATGGAAAAAAGCATATTTTACCGATAATATATGCTGACGAGAGGGCTGCAAATCAAAGTTCATATTTTTGACTGTCGGGAGCGAGGTCTATCGGGGCCCGTCTTTGCAACTAGCAAGCAGAGGTTGGGGGGATCGCGACCTCTTCCCTTAAATTTCTTCCATTGCAATTTACATAACCCCTATGTATTTTACTTTGTCACAAAAAAAAAAATGTATCACCGTGGTTAAATAAAAAAAATTAAAAATGCAGATATAAAAAAACATAGAAAGGAACACAAAAAAAATCATTTTTTACACAATGTGAGCTGCGAAGGTTGACTCGGGCTCGCGCCTCCTTGCCCATCCTACCTTTGTCTTTTTAGCGCAAGTTTTATAAGGCCCCAAATGGTTACTCACCTCTTTACCTCATTACCTCGGAAAACTTGGTCTGTACTAGAAAGACATTTCTTTTCTTTTATAAACTCTACTCATACATTTTCATACATTTCGATCTTCTTAAATTTGCGTACATAAAGTCAATGAGAATTAAGCATAAATTTAATGACGTGCTTGCGAGAAAAAAATAAAAAAAAAAACAAAATTTAGAATAGCAAATTGTATATATTGTTGCGAAAATGCGAGGCGAATGTCAGATGAAAGAGAGAAGCCGATAACTAGTACGTTCTAGAAACGATAAAACAAGAACCTTCTATAGCGAACAATTCGATGCTTCTACGCTTTCGTCTGCGAGCAGCCGACTGCTATATAAAGGCGACACTCAGCTGCAAGTCAAGTCAGTGATAAAGTAAACTCGTTGGCGTTAACATCAGTAAAATCGTAAAGTAAACGTGTTGGGATTACATTTAAGTAGAGTAAATTGTGAAAGTTGATGATAGGGATTGTAAATAATTAAGTGTATTGTAATTGAATTGTGAATTACGGAGTAAATAAAGGACATTAGATTAAAATCTTTATAACGAAAGATACTGCAAATTGAATTGGCGAGTTTTTAGTTAACAATCCAGAGATCGTACCCGAAGGATCTAGAAAATAATCGAGGTTGATTTAGTAAAATCGTAACAATATGTATGTATGTCTACGTTAATGGGAGCTCAGAGGAAAGAGTGCAAAACAAAATAATAATTTGGTGTTTTCTCATATTCATTTTAACTATGTGTACGTACATATCTACATACAACTTGTACAGTTCATATGTTGTTGACGTGGAAGGCCTTCCATGCTCGCTGTTTATCGCTGTATAAATTATTATTAAAACTTCTTTTTATTCCGAGAATGAATGGTAAATTTGCCCTCATGGACCTTTCAGTTCCTATGCATCTGATCGCTATTCCCTTTTAATTATTCAAAATGTATTAGTTGAGAAACAAAAATAAGTAATTCTCACTTTTTGACCACATACTGTTTAACCTGAGTAAAAAAAACATTATATGTGCCGGTATTTAAGCACGCACACGTGCCGGTATTTAAGCACACGCACTCACAAACAAAAAAGAGTATGTAACAAGATCAATAGTCCCCTATGACTATGCCATTGAATTTATGCAAAAGAAAAAAAACAAGGATATGAGTAAATGTTGAGAAAGGTTAGTTTGTGACTCTGGCTCATATTACTCAGAACTATACAATTTGAGTATTTTCTCTTAAATGACTTTGATGATGTGAATTATTTGGTCTAAATATTTAAAAAATACGATGTTCATTTAGCTTTATGATAATTAATATTTTAATTCCATCATTTATATTTATTACTCTAATAACCTCAAAAATTAATTAAGATATTTCAAGTTTTATGTTTGCAATTAATCAAATAAGTCAAATATGTTATGACTGTGCATGGCGGTATGTATAAAATTAGGTTACGTAAAGAAAAAGAATTTAAATTAAATTACTTAAATGTCAGCTTAATTAGTAGGATTTTTATGAAAAACCGGTTTGAGTAGCACACGTCAGGCATTAGAGTGGTCAAAGACAATTTGAGGACCCTGGTGGGAAATTCTGCTTCCGCTGTTTCGAGATGTTTTAGCATCAGCATGCTTACTCCGTCGGCGTCGACGGATTTGGAGGCTTTTGCCTTCCCGATGAGCCCCTGCCAGATGATATTGACGTTAACAGTTGTACAATTGTCAATTAGTTTTTTTTGTACAAAATATATTGATGTACGTTTTTTTCGGGCGGATAAAAAGATTTTTTTATATAGTTATATAATCGAAACAAAGTCATTTTCCGTAAAAAGGGAAATAGATCATAAAGAGATGAAATATTTATAGACGCGACCATTACAACTTTAGCAACGTTTTCTCATTTTTTTCCAACAATGCAGCTTACTCTCGTGTGGCTCTTTTTTCCTCTCTCACAAATCAGGGGTCCAGTAATGACATATAAATATTATTTTCAATAAAATCTTTCCCATCGAACCAACGCAATTATCATCAGTTGATTTTATTTTTGATAATGCTCTTTTCCTGCTGTACCCTACAGAGTTGCATTTATTAAGTATTAGGGTTTTGCATTTATACGTACAGTGTTGTAATAAAAATTACTTTTAGTTTAGAAGCGTGAGTTAATGAAAATTTTGCTTATATGCGTTTTGAAATTATTCTATCCTTATTTTTCTATGTAAAGGTATAAAAAAGCTTACGGCTTCAAAGCGAGGTGCACTTATACGGTTTTTCATTTATGCGTTGTGCATTAATAATAGCAAAGTTGTGTGAAAAAAGTAACCCTGTGTCAGCTAATTGTTGTTGCTCGACTTGAATTTGCCACAATCACGCAGGAGGGTGCTTTCTTGTTCCAACCAGTTAACATGGTAAAAATTTGTATTGCACATATAGCATAGACTAAGAGGGTTACCCTTTTATATTATACTTCGGTGCTGTCATTTCCATAGCGGTAACATCTTTCTAATAAATCAGAACAATAACGTGGAACGCACATATCTTCAATATTTTGAATAGTAATCGCATCATGAATTTAATTTCATCGTTGACTTAATGTTGAATTTATTATATTTTAGGTGCAGGGTGTGCTTGGCAAAGCAAAAGGAATACAATTTCTTGTTTGGGACGTTGGAGGTCAAGAGAAACTTAGACCTCTTTGGCGGAGTTACACGCGGTAAGTTAAAGCTATAGTAATAATTTTTTTTTTTTTTTTTTTATTGAAACGTAACATGATGCGAACTATTTTGACATGAGACCTTAGTGTTAATTCGAATTGTGTATGTACATTGACAATTTTTCGCACAACTTTTTTTTTAAGTTTCCAGCCCTTCGATGTACAATATATCGCAGGACATCCCCACAGTTGTATTCCGTATGTTTAGATATGTTTTTATGTGTAATTATGTATTTTGATTTTATTTTGTCTCGTTAGAGGTAATATTTTCCGATAGCATAATTTCAAACAAGTAAGGGGATACTATATGACTAGTGTAACTTACATGTATTGATGTCGCCTCGTAGTTATGCATCGTCTATTTAACCATTCCACTACTTGATTAATTGAAGATTGCATTCTGTTGGACGATTCTATGTATTTCAGTTTTTCCCGTAATAACAATTAATGCATTAATAGCTTCCTTAGCTTATATAGCTTACTATACCATCGTAAATGGGCCAGAAAATGCATTTTCGGCCGACCGTTTAAGCGATTATAGCCGAATAAATCTTAGATCGCCATTCCTCTCTTCTTTTCGCTGCCTGGTGCCAGTTGGAAATACCAAGTGAAGCCAGGTCAGTCTCCACCTTGAGAGTGGAGGTCTTCCTCCTCCTTTGCTTCCACCAGCGGGTACTGCATCGTGCCATTCGGACGACATGACCTAGCCAACGTAGCCGCTGTCTCTTCATTTGTTGTCTACTGCTATGTCAATATCATGGTATAGCTCATCGTTTCATCGTCTTTGGTATTCGCCGTTGGCAATGCGCAAACGACCATAAATCGTTCGTTTCTCTCGAAAACTCTAAGAGTCGACTTATCAGTTGTTGTCATCGTCCGCGCCTCTGCGCCACATAGTAGGACCGGTATGATGAGCGACTTGTAGAGTTTGGTTTTCGTTCTTCGAAAGAGGACTTTACTTTTCATAGCCTACTCAATCCAGTTACCTATCGGCAGGAGTGATTCTGAGTTGGATTTCAAGGTTGACGTTTTATTGGTGTTAATGCTGGCCCCTAGATAGACGAAATTATCTACGACCTTGAAGTCAACAGTCGCGTGTGAGCCGAGTCGCAAGAGCGATGACTGTTCGTGTGAAAACAGGAGATATATCGACGTGCCCTCATTCACTACCAGACCCATTCGCTCCGCTTCTTTATCAAGTCTGGATAAGTACTAACAGCGCAGTTGTTGAGGCCAATAATGTCGATACCATCGGTGTACGCCAGCAGCTTTACACTCCTGTAGCTGATTGTACCTTCTCTATTCAGCTCTGCAGCTGGTATTGTTTTCTCAGGCAATATCGAAAATTCGTTTGATATCGAACGGCTCGGAGAGGTCCTTCCCGATTCTGACCGAGCTTTTAGTGCTGCTTAAGGTCAGTTTACACCGCCGTATAACTTTTGCGCGGATACCAAATTCGAAGGCTGCTTTAAAATCGGCGATACTCATGAGCTCGGCTAATGTGCAAAAGGGTGTTGTGCATCTTTTGGCAATGCAAGCATGTATGTCGTGAGGTACACCATTTGAAGGTAAGGTGCAACGCCAGACAATTTGTACAAATGTTAATATTTTTTGTGAATTTATATCGCTGGGGTTTCGGTAGTTTCCCTGTCTAGGATTAATGTTAATAATCTGACAGGATGATTTCAATAAGCCCTTACATTGGTATTTGAAAGTGTTTCCTATATCCTAGTGAGGATACCTATCGTCCTATGAAGTATTGTTACAATTAATATTTATTTAAACGGCAGTTTGTGACTCTGCTAATCCATAGGCTTACTATCCGTAAGCCGAAATCATGAATCAATACACACAACAAGAGCCCTAAACATTGATTGACTTTATTGAAATTTCTACGTTCTATTTACTCTAGATTTTTGTCACAATTCATTTCCGCGATTCCGCTCAGCAAGCATATGTTTGCTGACATTGCGTTTGAAGTGGTGTTTTATGACCCTTGCATTTATTATATTTACGTAGTATTTTGATACTCGTATGTAGAAATGTAATTCAGACCACTACACTTAAATTGGTTGTAATGCTGAGCGTGTAATTTCCTTTGCACAATTTGCACGAGTGGTGGCTATTCTGTGGAGAAAGAAAAAGCTTAGTTTTGTTATGCGAAGTAGGAGAACTCGCGAGTTTGTATTTAACGTATTCTTTAATTTCAAATTGCCTGTATAGGAATTCTTTCATTTGTTGCCATGTTGGGCATTGCTTTCGGGTTGCGAGAGACTGCTCCCATAGCATTAGTGAGTTTTCTGGCGAAGCCAGAATAGAGTTTCGGGCACTTATAAAGAATTTGTGATTGTGCAATATTGTACGAATCAATAAACTTTCACATCGGAAGTGGAGAGCATTCCATGCCATTTGAAAATAGTCGTAGGTTAAAGCGAATCAGTTAACTATATCCTGCTTGAACTCTTGTCTTCTGTCGGACATGATATAACTTGTGAACTGGAGATAGCAGAGGTGGGGTGTTTTATATATGCGGCATTGAACATGTATTACCCACCACAAAATATTTCAGTGTCAAATGGCGGAAGATGAAGATATACTTCCGGTTATTCCGTCGAGGTAACAAAATTTACTTTGGTGTTATAATTAACCATTCAGTAAACTTTGTTACCATTTGGTATTCTGAGTTCACAGTCACCCTGTAAATTTTGTTACCATCGAAATAGGAGGTAACAAAGAATCTGCTGTTTGATTTTGTGTTGTTATTTTGATAAAAAATAAAAACCAAAATGGGTAGGCATATTTTAGGCCTAGAGTTCATTGAAAATGAAGAAGTTTCTGGAGATATTCTAAAAATTCCTCTATGGGGGAGGAAGTGAATTTGGAACAATAGCTTATCAAAAAATCATTTGTTATATCAAATATTTGCACACACGGGTAGTGAGTTTTGCATTTCGAGGCTTGATGCTCAATTTTTCTATTAGCTGCTATATGGGGAAAAGCAGCATTAGTGGCAGCTTGTGCCTGAAATTGCATAGGAGATTTTTTCTGGGACTAGATACTTAGGTGTTAGCTTAATGTACTCTTAAATTTATTAAAATATTTTTAATTTCTAATTCTTGTTTTTAAACAAGAATTCACCTTATTGTGAAGAAGTAGCAATGTGTATGTTTTGGAGTAGCCGTGTACCACCTTCATATGCAGTGGACCCAAAATGTTTACTTCTGGGTTGGTAATGCTGTATATGGATGTATGTATGTATATATATTTGTGTATATACTTCAATGTTATAATTTCAGCTTAGAGGAGCGAAGTAGATCTATTGATATTTTAATGCAATGAACGGCTGCAGTATAGGTTATGCTTGAGAAACTACAACAGAAATAGAAAACCAAAGCGCGAAAATTTGTATGCAAATTTCTGATGATCTTTTGATTGAGTATAAGTTAAGGTGGTAAGATATTAAATATCACCAAAAATTTTAATATATTATAAATATGAATGCGAAATTATGTGGAAACATTAGAGAATGTGACAATGGAGTAGGTTAATGGTATTGCTATGATTTAGGGGAAGTGTTATTTTATAATTCTCTTATATACGCATGTATGTTTATATGTTCAATTTGAAGGCAGTCAAGCAACCTAAAGGACAGCGGTTCTAAGCTTCTTGTTGTTGGAAAATGCAAGAAAATTTGCATATTATGTAGATATTTACTTCTGTTAAAAAAGCAAAAGTGATTTGAATACATACGTGTATGCACATACACAGGGTATTACAATGTACAAAAAAATATGGCGGGGAGATATTTTTGGTTTTCTGCTTTTGCATACGAGTATATGGAAATGCATGCTTTCAGATTTCAATGTTTGTTGTTCTTGGGTTCAACGATCTACAAGATAACGTTATTAAATTGATTGCCATTGGAAAAGCTTGTTTATTTCTGCTTATGCTAATAAAACAAAAGTATTTGCCAACATACAGGGTGATGATTATCTGTATTTGAATGCAGTATATTAAATATTTCCCGCCCCTTTTTATTTTTAATAGTTGAGAGTCATTGTGGTGAATGTATAGTTGACCACTTTTTCAATGAAACCGTCTAAAAACTTCAACGTTCTGTGGATTTCGGACCTTAGGGTTGATGTAGTTGTTACATGTATTTTAAGCTTTGGAAGTTATGCTCGAGGTAGTGCTAGTGGGAGCGTTGTTGTCGTTAAATGTAACTTCTTTTGTTGTGGCTGGAATGTCCGGTCGCTTAATTGGGAAGGTGCCGCTGCCCAGCTGATTGATGTTCTCGTAAGAATAAAGACTGACATCACCGCCATCCAAGAAATGCGATGAACGAGACAAGGACGAAAGCGAGTCAGTTATTGTGACATTTACTACAGCAGCCATATAAAGGAACGTAAATTTGGTGTTGAATTTGTGGTGGGAGAGAGACTCCGTCGTCGAGTACTGGCATTCACCCCGGCGGATGAAATACTTAAATTTAAACTTACCTCTTCAGACCAAAATTTGCTAAATTGAAACACTTTTATATGAAAATTGTTCGGCAAACACTTCCAAACTTTCTTAGCAATCCTTAAACTAATTGCTATCATATGTATTCGGCGCTTTGTAACTGATAAAGTAATTTTTGGTTCCTCCTCCAATTTATAGTATACGTTTTGATGTTTTTCCAACAAATATAGGGACAACAATTTATACTAAGCCCCCGAACGGTTGATGGCTTTTTATGAAAAACTTTATTAGTTCATGTCAAAAACATATTCATTGAGTTTGACACATTCCTTGCGGATGAGCGACGTCAATTATAAAAACCAGGACTCGAACCCCGTACTTACAAATAGCAGTGCACTATGCTATCCACTTGTCTATTGCGTCCAATACCGTATGAAAATACCTCTGCTTACAAAATTTAGTTGAAATATCTCCACAACTAACGGATTAGTTTGGGTCCAAACAGACGGAAAGACAGGCAGACGGACTGCAGGTATAAG